AAAAAAAAAGAAGGGCTTGTGACAGCCGGCAAAGAAAAAAAAAAAAAAAAAAAAACCAGAAAAAAACTATTTTAGAAATTGACCTAAAAGTTCAAAAACCATATGGAATCATTTAATGGGGGAGGATGTAGAGGATGTAGCCTTGTAATAAGAATGCCATGCAAGTATTCCCACACCGCCCTTGGTGGTCTACAGAGTGATTCCATATGTATTTCATGTCAACACCGTCACAGGAGGTAAGTGGGACTGTGTACCTCGGAGGCTCTCGGTGATTTGTTAGAATGTGCTTGAACAGAGCCATGTGACTCAGAGATCAGTGGTAGGCCACTGTCTTCAGCCTCCGCAGTCGGTGAGGCCAGTCTGTCTGCGAGAGCAGTGAGAGGAGTGCAGTCAACACAGAATAGCCAGGTCATTTTAGGTTTCAATCCAGGAAGATTTTGTGAGGCACAGATATACTGAAAGTGTAGACCAGCAGCCCATGCCTAGGGTCAGTAACAGGTGTATACTAGGTCAAACCGTGGAAATGGAGACTTTCCAAAAAGAACCAAGTTACGTGACCAATATTCTCACTTACCAAAGGTTTTAGAAAAGCCCTGCCTCCAAAAATATTCTCTTTGTTCTTCGTTCGCTAATATTAACCGGAAATATGTAAATCCTTAATAATGGCCCCATGAAGGATTCCTGTGGCCTTTTTTTCTTTTCGGGTGACCTTTGAAGAGTTCGGTTGTAATATGCTGTTACTTTCCAAGAGAGCCACTTTTGGTCTTGGGGAAATGGAAAACTCTAGGCTTTCCTGGCATCCTTGAAGCAAACTTCCTCTGCACAAGAAAGCCAGGAAGGCCTAGATCTGTCCAACCAGGATGATCTTTGAAACAATCAAATTTTATTTTATTTTTTAAATTTTTTGTTTTTCTTCTGTGTTGTCTTGTTCTTCTGTTTCTCGTTCTCCCCCTTTGGCCGTGTCTTGTTCTGTCCTGCTGGCTATCTCTCGCATATCACCAGGTGAGAAGCCCCATCAATGCAGCATCTGTTGGCGCTCCTTCTCCTTGAAGGATTACCTAATCAAGCACATGGTGACACACACAGGAGTGAGAGCCTACCAGTGCAGTATCTGCAACAAGCGCTTCACCCAGAAGAGCTCCCTCAATGTGCACATGCGCCTGCACCGCGGGGAGAAGTCCTACGAGTGCTACATCTGCAAGAAGAAGTTCTCCCACAAGACCCTGCTGGAGCGACACGTGGCCCTGCACAGTGCCAGCAACGGGACCCCTCCGGCAGGCACGCCCCCAGGTGCCCGCGCAGGCCCACCAGGCGTGGTGGCCTGCACGGAGGGGACCACTTACGTCTGCTCCGTCTGCCCAGCAAAGTTTGACCAAATCGAGCAGTTCAACGACCACATGAGGATGCATGTGTCTGACGGATAAGTAGTACCTTTCTCTCTTTCTTACGAACCAAACGAAACAACAACAAAAGAAATAAACAAACAAACAAACAAACAAAAAGCTATGGCACTAGAATTTAAGAAATGTTTTGGTTTCATTTTTACTTTCTGTTTTTGTTTTTGTTCCGTTTCATTTTGTACTCCACGAAGAACTGTATTTTGCCTGCTGGTACATTACATTTCCGGAGGCTTGGGCAGATAAGACTTTTCCCAGTCTCCCTTGGATGGTGGCCTTAAGGCCTGGTAGTGCTTCACGAGCTCCACTGGTTGGATCTCTAGCTACTGGCCTCTAAATACAACCCTTCTTTACAAAAAAAAAAACAAAACAAAACAAAAAAAAAACAAACAAAACAAAACAAAAACAAAAAAAGCAAAAAACCACACACAAAAAAAGCAAAACAAAAAAATCTTTTAAAAAAGTTAAAAAAAAGTTTAAAAAAAAAGACAGAGTTGTTTTTCCACTCGTGAAGAGCACTACAAAGTCTATAAGGAGATGTAAAAGGCCTGCTGTCTGTAAGTACACCGCTCACAGTGTTTCAGTGGACATTTCACAGTTCTGGCCACTTGGACTTCATAGTAACCAGTTAAAACTATAATATCGCTTCTGGCTGAGAACCCAGAAAAGGCCCTGCTGTTTCCACCTACCACGTTATTAAAGGGCTGTGGGATGGGAGGGGGCAGTGAGCTCAGTGGTGTGAGGAAAAGCGGCATGGCAGGCTTCTCCCCCAATTCTGCCCAGTCCACACACCCTGGCCCACCTCCGCCACAACTCCCTCCCCTTTCAGCAGAAGCCAGAAGACTTGGACAAGCAACAGTGGCTGTCGTATTTATTCAGTGTCTTCGCTGAGCCTCAGCCTCAGCGCAATCAGGAGGGACTTTCAAGAAAGGCAGGAATGCAGAGAAAATGGTAACAGATTTGCACCTATGTTTCTAGGTACAAGAGAAGGATTATTTCCAACAACCTTTGCAAAAAAAAAAAAAGTGTCAGGATATATTCTTGTGGAAGAGAAAAAGAAAGAGAAATGGAGGGTGGGGGGAACAATAAAAGTTCTTGATGCTTTTTTAATTCAAAATTTTATAGAGGGGCAAAAGTGATGTTTACCAGATAGAATGCTGATTTTTTTAATATATTTACAACAGTATTTGTGTAAAAAAAAAAACAAAAAAGTGAGATTGTTAAAAGTAATTTCTTTCTCATTTTGGTTTTGCATACACTGCCACCAATCTCTTCTCATTTACTTTGTCTCACACACACATATATATATATTTTTTGGTAAGTCAAGACTGTTAAGGTTAGCGATACTGCTTCCAGATAGAAAGAATAAAAGGCAACTAAAGTTATATTTGAAAGAGAGGAAGGATATTTTCTTCATATTTTTTCTTAAGTTTTTTTTTTATTATTTTAAGTATTGCCTGGGTTGCTGAGGGCCTCAGAGGCCCACCCACCCCTGCTGTAATTTCAACTGCTGCTGTGTTTTGCTGTGTAGATCTTTGAATTCTGGCTTAAGTTGGTCCACTAAATCCTCTTCCATTGACCCATCTAGAATCCTGTCCTTTCTCCTGGGAGGGACGTGATCCTTTAGCAGATTTCCTACTTCTCCAACATCTTCACTGAGCTCTTCGGATTCTAGAATCCCTTGCTTTTATTTCTTTGATGAAACACTAGTAGTCTAGAGATCTTGACAGAGGGGGTTTGTTTTGTTTCTGGTCAGTCAGGAGCACTCCACAAAATTCTCCCCTCCCACTGTGTGAACGTCACTATGAGAAGCCTGTTACAGACCACAATACGTCGATGCCAAAACTCTTTCTTCCTTTCAGATGTCACCCCTGGACTCTTCCCACCATGCCTAAGAGGGCTAAAAGATGATCTCTCTAGCTGATTATTAACCCTTGCTTTTTGGAAATTAACAATTTCCCAAGCTAACATCCAGTGAAAACTGGCCCTGGGTCTCTGGTGTCATCCCAGATACCACTCTTTCTAGTTGGGATTTCTCTCTTTTGTCTTGATCAAGAAATCATAAGATTTTGCAATTATATACAGTGTCTTAAAGGAATTCCAGCTCAGACTATAACTTTTAAACCTAGCTAATACTCACAAAGTAGTTTCATGACTGGGCATGTTTTAGCATACTTAAAAGGAAAAGTAAATATTTCAATAATGCAGAAACACAGAACTACATTTTTAAAAATAAGAAAAGAGGGTATTTTTGTTTCTAAATTAGTTTACATTTTAATTTAATTTTCCTCCTAATTTTCCTGTTAGCATTTTATTTACAAAAAAAATGCAGCAAACTAGGGAAAATCTTCCAAGGCAAGCAACTCTATAATGACTAAATTGGTTTTATTCATACATTTTAGACAATTGGTTAAGTTGGATCTTTTCCATACGTTCTTTGTGATGTTTCGTAGTTTGTGCAACTGGAGTGTTTGTGCAGTCTGAGTCGTCTTATGGTGCTTCATTCAGTGGCTATTTTGCTAGGAGTTGTAATGTAGATTTGGATAGTTAGCTGACTACTGAGGATCACTCAGCGTGATTTCTAAGAGGACAACCAAGAACATGTGTGACCTGCTTTAAAAATGAGCTTCAGAAATGCAGAGGCCCTCTCCACCCCACCCACCTGCTGGTTTTGCTGTTGAAAGGGTCAGTAGTGACCCTTGCCACCTTACCACCAATAGAGGGAGCATTAAGTAACTACATCATTGAATCATTTTGATATTTTGAAAAATGAGTCATTAACCCATTAGGAAAAAAAAATATGACATTGTGATAATTTTTCTTAATCTGGAGGAAAAACGGCAAAATCATTGTATAAAACAAATGAAAAAAGGTCATACCTAGTTTTAGTTATTTTCACTGTTGTCAGGGGTACATTTTAAATAGTGTCTCTGTTCAATGCTTAACAAAGCAGGCAGAATTCACATTGTTTCTGGTAAAGCTTATATCGGGTGCCATTGGGCTTCCCCATCCTCTCCTGAACTCTGAAAGAGACCCATTTGCCTTAATGCTGTTTCGCCATCGTCAGAAGCTAAGAAACTGCGTTAAACCCAATATTTGTTGTAGAGCATGTAAGAAAAAGAACAGGTGACTGGAAGCCCTGATACACATTCTGTCCTTAATAAAGGGAATATCTCCTTTACAGAGAGCGGGAAGATCCCTAAAGAATTCTTGGTAAGGTCCTCCTCCCTAAGCTCATTCCTACTGTATTTTTTTTCTCCCAAACATCTCACAGCCTAAAATATTTGACATTGTTCTCTAGAACTGGGAGGACACTAACCTGGCTCTCAAGCAAAGATACATCTATAGGGCCAATGCCCCATATTCAGCCTCTAAAGGGTAGCCTTCCCACTAATCGACAGTTCAGGAGACGAGCCTGTCTGCACCTCCTCCAGGAGATGCAGGTGCTTGAGTCCATGCACCATCCCTGGCTTATAGCTGCAAGGTGTGGGCAGGGGGAGCATCTCAGTTTTTGGTTTCCAGTCCTGCAGTTTCTATGATGGATGCTGTAAGTGCTTTTAAAGCTGGAAAAGAAAGAAAGGTCTTTGTAGTATTCGGGAAAACATACAGAGAGAGAGAGAGGGGGATGCAGATGTTCCAGACAGGAGACCTAAGGAGAAGTTTGAGGAACGAGAGCTGATATGCAAAAGCATACTAGTATAATTTTTTAAACAAAAATTTGATTTAAAAAAAAGTCTGAGGAATGTTTGTCTCAACACGTTTATATAGAAATTATGAAAAATAAAATTCCCTAGCACTAAAAACATCAATAGTGTCTCAGCATGGTGGGTCGTGTTTCCTATATTAAATATCAACATTTATACAAAAAAGAGCCCCTAGCTGTAAAATATACCCCCCCAAAAGACAATAATAATGGCTGTTTAGTTCTACAATTAAAAGCAAAGAACTGAGAAAAACTCTCCCCTCTCTAGTAATCTGAAATGAAAATCTTTATCAAAGTATTTTCATTGTAAATTTACCCACCTCACAGTCATTTTGCAGGCTTTCCCATCCCAGTTCTGTTTGCCAGGAATGAAGGTAGTAAGAACCCTGGCTCAGATCCTGCCATTCCTTCCTTCCCCGTATCTAGTAGGTCACAGGGGCCTTGGCCTTAGAAAGACTTGGGTTTGCCTTTTTTCTCTAAAAATCAGAGAGCTTTATCTTACATCACGATATCATGTAAGGACCAAGAAAACCCTTTCCGGCCCATGAACAGGAAGAGTCTGTGTATCTGAGGCTAAAGAGCCAAGGTCTCTGGGCGAGCTGTTCATGCCCGTCTTCCTGTCCTGATCTGTCTCCATGTGCTTCCTTCTCACACAGCGGTGTGTGTCCTGCCCGTGCCCCAAAGCAGTGTTTCTTTCTGCAAAGAAGTTAGAAGGGAAGCGCTGCTTCCTAAAACCTGTCGGGTCCCCAGTAAAACAGTCCAGTTCCTTGTAGCTTTCCCATTGCGGTCCTCTAAGATATCCCAGCTCCTTTGCCCTGAGCAATGATGAAAGTGAGATCGGCCTGGCCAGGATGCGTGGCAGAACTGCCCCTCCTGAGCCTTCCCCCATGCTGCCGATAGGGTCTTTTAATTAGTTAGGGCTGGCCATGGGGAGTATATGGTTCCCCCAGGATCACATCAGGTTGGCTCTGCTGTGACCAGTGTGGCAGCTGCAGCAAAGTGAACACAAAGGTGTAGGGCAGGAGCAGACGAGACGTGCCCTGTGGGGAGAGAACAGAGGCTGGGAGGGAGCCTTTTCTGCTGTGACTTGACTCTTAAAGAAACCCTCCAAAATGAATTCTTTAATTTAGTAATGAGTTGAAGTCCAGGGTAATGGAAGCTCTGGGGAAGAGAACAAAAGAATTGCACAATGTATTCAGTACCCAACAATACCAAACCAGAAAACATCCAATCACAAAGCTAGGAAGTTTGGCAAGAGGTACTTAGGGAAACCTCCAGCCTTTTCCATGGGTAGGGTCCGCAGACTTTCTTTTGAGTGATTTCTGGCTCGAAGAAACCTCTTTACTCACTAGAAAAGAACTTTTATTTAAATGACCAATTTTGTCCCCCAGGGGAAAAAAAAGAAAAATTTTAAAAAGACAGAAAAGAAAAATAGGACACTAAAGACAGAACCATGTGAGTTGGTGACAAACAAAAGAAAGGGGACACTAGAATTTCAATAGACTTCCCAATTGGATGGGGGGTGCGGGAAGCAAAGCTACCCAAGGGCCTCCCAGCTCAAGACTCCCAGTCTGCTGGGAAGGGACCGAGTGCTTGATCTGACCCAGCTGCTGCCTTTCTGGGACTGAACATAACTTCCCAGCTGGGACCATGGCAACCTCCTCCTCGGTTCTGTATTTTCATAAGGAAACAGGACTGTTCTCTTAGGTGGCGTGGGGCGAACATCCCAAAACAAGCTCTGCCCTGTGCCAAGGCTGCTTTTTTGCTTGACCATGGAATCCACAGCAGTAAGTGATGTGCATCCCCAGGTCCCAGGAGTGGGCTGTGGACTTCCGTTCCCTCAGCGGAAGAGACAAAAGATGAAGGCTGGCAGTGCACACGTTCTTTTTGAGAACCACATGTCTCCTCCTCACTGAAGGAGGAGTAGAAAGGCCCAAGACTAAAACAAGAGTCTTAGCACAGGACTGACTGACAGCTGCCCTTCGCCCATGTTCTTTAGACCCCATCTGTTGCTCCAAGGGCAAAATACTGAAGTAAACTCAGCTAAGGAATTTTCACAAGAAACCGTTAGGTTGTAGAATTATTGCCTTAAGTTAGAAACCCTGGGGGAAAGCAGACAAAAAAAAAATTACAGAAAATGGAAGGCTCCGAGGATAAGAACTTTTGCTTTTTACTGTTCCACAGTCACAAAAGTAAGCTCTATTCATGCCTGAAGACCATGGAAACAGTGACTTCCTGGGGAGGCACCAAACTTGTAGGGGAACCGGCTGCTTTCAGGAAGCAGCTATTTCCTGTCTACTCCATCTCATTGGTAGGTCGAGGCTGAATGTGAAATTAGCATGTTGCTAAGTAGCGAGTCCCGTTCAACACAATCACAGGTGCCTGGATGAGTCTTAAATGTCTCCTTAACGGGGAGAACAATCCCAACACACAGCTTTCTTTTTATATATAATCTGGTTTTCTACAGTCTGCACTTGGTTCCACCTCAGTTTTGGAGTGCATTTGGTTTACCTTGTGGGTCTTTGTGTAAATGCAGAATCAAAACTTTCAAGTCTTTAGTGAGGAGGCATATGATCTGCATATCATTGGCAAAAGTTAGCCCTCGTCATGAAGTCCCAGCATGGGCAGTGCCTGAAGACAGTCAGGCTCCCCTGAGATCGCTCGCGAATAGAGAGGTTTCTCCGTTAGGAGTACTTTCAAGAGATTCTGATACCCCTGCAGCAGAGAGAAAAGAATTAACCCCACAGGAGACATCTGTTTCTGCTGCTGTTGCAACAGTTGTCGTAGCCCGAAGCATCAGTTATTTGCACACAGATGCCATTAACAAAAGTGGCTTAACCCATCCAGTTTGTCCGAGCTGCTGGCCAGAATATCTGCAGATGAGTGCACCTTATACATGTGCATGCATGGTGTGAGGTGCTCCTACCATACCAGGAAACTTCATTCATATTCTAAAGAGACAACAGTGTAGACTTGGGAAATTCCAGTAGAGTCAGAGGCCTGACACCATGCATATGCCTGCTTTTTTGCTCTGTAACCTTGGTTGTGTGCATCAGTATCTGGGATGAGGCTTTAGAGCATTGGGAAGTATCCCGACCATCAGTAGTTTGCATATAGCCTTTTAAGGGGAAACTTGAACAAATGCTACACTTCTGTGGATTTACTGGTGAGTGTGTGTGTGTGTGTGTGTGTGTGTGTGCACGCACGCATGCGAGCACACGACTACGCACATTTGTGTGTTTATGTGTATTTATGTTGTCTGAGTGTGCGAGCATCTCTCAAATGAAGCCCACACAGGCAGAGTTCCTGGTGCATAGATACAGTTGCCTCTTCTACCATTGTGCTCAGACTCATGGCTCTCTTCCCAGGAAGCAGTCACCTGCCCACTCTGTTGCTTTTTGTAGTATTTCAGAGTTGGGAGAAACAAAGGCAGCTTGTTGGCTCCACAGCAAACCCACAGGGACAGGCTGTTTCCCTCCAGAAGAGGGTGGAGTACACATTTTTCAACCAAGGAGCAGAGGGAGCCATCAGAGACACCCCACAGGACTCCCAGAGGGGAGGCACCCACCCAGGCAGGTAGCACCCAAGCATCCCAAGATGAAGTGACCCTGAGCTCAAAGGCCACTCTTGTCCTCTCCGGAACCTTGGAGGCTTTAGAGAAGGAGCACGGTCTGCAGATCATAGATAAAGCCTAGCCCCAGGCATGTAGTCTCAGCACACACACACACACACACACACACACACACACACACACACAGGAACTACATGGGAATCCTGCTCTCAGACTGAAACTTCCTGATGCTGCCTGCCCCTGCAGGACATCACTGTCATTCACAAGCTGTGTCTCCTGAAACCAGTGTGGCCTTCACCAGTCTTTCGAGGATGGGTTGTTTACCAGTCTAGCAAACCAATAGAATACAGAGGGGTAAATTGAGGGGAATCAGGGGCGCTTGCCCATGTCAGGCATTAAAGTAGAATGCTCCTCTAGTATTGTATATTGAATGACTGGACTTAGCTCTCATAGGTAACTCTGGATGGCTTGATGACCTAGAAACAGTTAGATTTAGTTTTCTCAGTCCCACGCCCTTCTTTTACTAGATGGTTCCTTTCTCCCTGTCCCCCACCTTTTGTGATATATGGATTATTTCTGCTTTACAGAATTCAGAGGGCCTTCTTTCATCTTCTGTTTTAATGACATTTCCCCTTCCCCCAGGCAGTAAGGCTACTTACCGTTACAAATATTTTTTTTTGGTTTGTTTATTATTTCTTTCAAGTGCGTATTGTCTTTCTGTAGCCAAAAGAAGTCTGTGACTGTAACCACAGGTATTTCTTTTTACTGGAAAAAAATTTCATTTCTTGTTTTTATTTGTATTGTTTTAATTAACAGTACTAGTGACTTTGTGGAAGACTATGGTTACTATTTAGGTATGCTTAGTTAAGTACAATACACTACACTGCAGTGTTTCTGAAACCTAGAACATACACATTATATATAACAACTCTATATTGAAATATATTACAGTATATTCATTTTAACTTTGACTCTGCCAATGCTCATGAGTTGACTGAAATATTTCTTCACATGTATCACCCATTCCCCACCTGCTGCAGTTACTCTGGTTCATTTAATGACCGTTACGGTTCTAGTTTGCTTTTTATATTATCAGCTTCAGTATTGTCTTTAGAAGATTTTAGGATTTTTTTTAAAGATCAGATTTAGCACATGTAGGAAAGTGAAAACTGTTTAAACTTTAAAAAATTATTTTGCTGTGGCTAATACAAAGAAGTGCATATTCCACGTGATCGTGTTTAGCTGCCCCGTCAACACCTGAAGAACAAAGGAAGTGCAAACGTGTCTGTGGTCTTCCCCTTTAGGACTGCCGTCGTCTATATTTGCTTTAAAAAATAAGACCACGGAGCTGCTTGTCCGTCACATGATCTGACCAACTGTCTAAGCTGCATTTCAAAGGGCTGCTTTGGTGAGAAGCAAAGACAGGGAAGTGCCTCACTCTCCCGACTGTATCTCAAAACATTGGATTTCAGTTTTGATCCTTCACCGTCTGCTCTCTCTTGTTGGTATGCCTGCCATTATTTTCATTGGTCTTCAGCATTTCTCTGGAGGCATCTTGGCAATACACCATTCATTTCCCCAGGAGATTTCTTTTTAAACTAAAACCACATTTCTGGAAACTTTTTACAGACAGAACTCAAAAACATATATGACATTTTTTAGTCTGCAGACCCCATAAGTTGGTGGCTCTTGGTCACCTGGCCCTTGGCATCTCTACTTGCTTTCTTCTTTAGCCAGGTCACCAAGGGGACATTCAGAAACCAAATAGCTTGTCTTCTAACAGAAGCACTTTCAGGTCATCTTTTCAAGTAAAAACTTTCTTCAGCTGCCCCCAGTTATTCTACCAAAAGTCTGGACATCAGAATCAAATCAGCTGAACCCCATCTCATCCTTCGCAGTCTGTATTCAGGACAAAATGAAGTATACCCCCTCCCCCATGGCGGACCAATATTTAAGCTTCTCAGTGTGACTATACCACTTTTCCTTCAGTCTTCCATCACTTATTGTCTCCCAGCCTCATCACATTCTGCTGTGCCTATTCAGTGTGTCTCTGCCCCCAACCCACCCTCTCCTTAGCATCTTCCATTTGAGAAGCCTGGCATTCATTAGGACTTTCCTTTAGTCTCCTTTGATGATGCTAAGCTGGAGCCTAGTAGGAAGCTACTTACATTTCATCTGTTTTCAATGAAAGACATGCCAGCTGAAAAGAGGTGAACTAAGTGGTCCTGAGGTTGTCCCTTCAGTGACCAGGTATGAGGCGAACTGTCCTAACTCCATTATTTAGGCTTCCCTTTCTTTGCCAAATTCTCATCATGTCTTCTGGTTTCTTTTTAAAGGGAATTCTGAGCTACCCAATCATCTCTTCAGTGCCCCCCCCAAATTACATTCAGCCTCCCAAATGTTCATGTCTTTCTTCTCCCTCCCTTCTTAGCATCTTTCTTTAAGTGAGTTCATAAACTTGGGACTCGTAGGCAGAATGAAACATGTCTTCATTTCAGCTTCAGATTTTAAAGGTTGACAGTGTCTTTTGAGAGTAGGAGGACCTGAGTCACAGTTCTAAATGTCAACTGTACTAGTTGAGATCATTAATTCCTCTCACCTTTACATTAAACCAAAGAGAAGTATTTTCTTTTCTTTTTCTATCTTTTTTTTTGATACCACGTTTTTCAGATTCTTGATATGAGTAGACCATTTCTGAGGGAGGAAAAAACCTCCCATGTTGATTATTTCTGCCTGTGCTAATATTTAGCCAGTGACATGTTTGCCAGATACTAGATTTACAAGAATCTGAAGAAGGAGGTAACATTTCAAAATAACTTTGGTAGCTATTTATGCCAAAAGCCACTTTTCATTTAAATACAATGTAAGAAAAGTTTGAGAGAATTTCTTCATGTATTACATTTTTGAAAAGCCAAATATTGGTTTGTCTGAAACTTTGAAGGGTAATTTATTAAGGAATAAGAGGATCTATAAAGTTCATCAAGTGCTTGTTTTATAAACAAAAATTGCCTCAACATAAACATATGTTAAAAAACAAGAATAAGGATGACTGGATCCTATATTAGATTTGATATTCAGGACTCAGTTTATAAATACACAATATGTTATTTGGGCATTGTTCTAGAGCTCATTCCAATTACAACTTTCTGGTCTCCAGAACACTAATAAAGAAGATTGAAGGCATTGTGGGTGTAGCCCTTTGGGGATACTTGTAATATCATTTCACAGTAACCCTTTAGCACAGTGCCCTAACTTGCTATGAGCCCACATTGTCTCTCTATTCATATGAAGGAGTCTGAGACAATTTGGAGTGCACAGGTACTTCCTGCTCTACCTTGACACTCAAAATCCATACTTAAAATAAAAAATGTAGCATCACGTGGCTTGAGGCTTGATCCAACTTTTGTCTTAAGACAGTTTATAACATCCATTTGCACAGAGAGCAGTGAGATAAATGGCAAGTTCAAAAACCTTCTTGAGGCAAACATACATCTCTCAGTAAGTCACCATGTCTTGAGGCCAGTGTTTACATTGCTAAAGACTTTGACCTTTGCTTGGCAAGTCCTCCAACTTAGTCTTACCTTCGGAGCTCTTCCTTTTTCTATTTCAGGCTCTTACTATCTCTTTTGAAAGTATTCTGTATTGAAAGAAGTCTTGTCCTCTGGCATTGCTTTCTGAAGGCCTAGAAGATTCATTCAAATAACTAAATACTGTCTGCCATCTCAAGTGCAATGTGGCATGGGAGAGGTCTGGGTCAGAAAGATCTCATTGGATCCACTTGATCCAGGCTGCCTGCTTGCCATTGTTTCTTCAAGGTCCCCAAGAGATTCAACTCTAAGATCCAGGCTTTCTCACCACAACCTCTTAAGTTTGTCACAGATGAATGTCCAAATCCCGTTTAATATTCTAGAGGCTCCAGCGTGTGAATTCTTACTGCTCAGGAGCCTCCTGTTTTCAGAAGCTGGCACCTGTCAAGAGCACCGACAGCCCCCATAGTAACTAATGCAGCACAATAGTGGTCAGAAATGCTGGAGTGTGCATTTGAGAGATTAGCAAGTGATTTTTTTCTTCTTTTACCCGTTTTGTTTAGTTTTTTTTTTTTAAGCCTGCATTCCCCCCAACATATTTCAGAAAACCTGCATCTCATTTTATAGTTAGGTAGTTTTAGTTTTGTGAATGTAGATTAGGAAATGTTCTGGAATTGAAGCTGGTAGCAAACACGTTTATTTTCTGCACTGGACGTTAGGACAAGTGTGTATGGATGCAATTCCTTCAGAGAAAGTGAAACATGGTAAGCAAAGGGACAGTACTTCTACACACTAAACAGTTGTCTGCTATCTGCAAACCTTGATTTAAGCATAATTATAACTTCATAGAAATCTGAAACTGGAGGAATGTGTATTTTAGTATTTTTTTATTGTTTTCCTTTATGTCTTCTCAAACTAGGGAAATGTTTTGATTCTCTGATTTGATTCTGTCCCTGCACATCAGGTGACTGACCCCTGCCCCACAGTAGTCTTTTGCCCCTTGGTGAAGGTTTTTCTTCACTCTCCCAACAAGAGGTCCTTTCTCATGAAAGTTATAGGCTCATTTTGCTATTACTTAGAGCTTTGAGGAGAGAGATTCTGCCTGCACGTTGAGGGTAGAATAGTTAGAAAATATTCCTTGAAGAAGAAACTCTCTTTACTTAAACAAACAGGTCTGTGCCGAGGACTGGGACTGAGTGCTGTTGAGAGTCAGCTCCTCCTGTACTGCAGTCAGCATGGCTCCTCAGGCCTTTCTTGGAATCAAGCTGGGGGTAAATTTACTTTTTTTCACTGGGCTGTTTCTTATGAATATCTAGTACAGAATTCCTAGGGAAAAATAATGAGCATTAATAAAATGTCACCTGATGTGTCCATTCTCATAAGCAGGGGTTCCAGTCCTTCATTTTAAGCTGCCTGTGCTCATGAGGTCTTACACACAGAAGCATGCCCTTGTGCTTCACTCCTAACCCTCCCTGTTGCTGAGCTGCACGTAAGCAGGAAATCTCCTCCACACTGTGGGTGCTTCTCCTGTCCATGCCCAGCATAACAGAAGAGATAAAACACCAAATTAAAAATGGGGAGGGGAGGTCATAGTACTTCATCTGAAGACTATTCTGTGAAGCTCAGCTTAACTTACAAATAGCTTGACAACCTTTTTATAACCTGGCTTTTGTGCTATGATTTACTTTCTTGATTCAAAGTTGGGAAGAAAATGCAATTTCAATGAAGTGAACAGAAGGAAAGCAGGGGGAGGACAACGTAAGTCAATTGAACTAAACTAATACAATTCTCCATTCTTAAAACCTGCTCTCAGGGTTACCAAAGAATGATCTCACCCCAGTCCTGTCATTCCTTCCCATCTCTCTTTTTGATGGTTTTGAGAATTAACATAACCATACTCTTGTGACTCATGACTTCTCTTCATGCTATCAGGACTTTGGATAAAGAGTGGATAGAAACCACTGACTGCTCTGGACCTAATCTGCTTTCCAGGGCATATGTAACGTGTGTATACAGATAACCAAAAATCGACTAGTGTTTTGATAAGGTTTTGCAATGGTCTGAAGTGCTCAGCTCACAGCTAGGAGATCTTTAAAAACAAAACTAGCTATTCTCCTCTTGGCTCTTCATGGTACAAATCTTGCCTTGGAGTCAGCAGTAGAGTCAACGGAGAAAATGCCCAAAGATGCTTGAGCAGTAAAATTTCATCCTTACTCCCACCGATTTAGACTTCAGGTTTCTAGAGGAGCCTACTAAAGTACACAAATAATTTGCTTAGGCATATCTAATTAAGATCCATTTTGCACCACTGTTAAAGAATTGTGGTCAGGTGAACAGAAAGTCCTAGTAGTCCACATCCTTCACAGCAGGTGAAGGTAAGAAGCCAATGACAGAGAAAGTCTACAATTGCTTTGTTTTTAAAAGCCCCACAGTGCCAAATGGCCTTGTTTCTATCTGACAGTACACATTGATTCTCCTGAAATGCCAGCGTGTGTGTGTGGGGGGGGGGGATGAGAACAGTCAGGCAGAGTCCCATGTGCAGAGGGAGGCTCAGAGACACTGGAGACAGATTCTTGAGGATTACCACATGCCAAGTGCTTCTCCGGATTCACCCTCGTGGTGAATCCCAAACTGACTCGCCTCAATTTTCAGCTCTATAACAATCCCATTGCAAATGTTTTTTAACTGAATAATACAAGAAGAGTTACAATGCAGAATCTGCATTTTAGCATAGTAATTCACTTTGTATTTAATAGTTCTACGTTTTGCTTAAGTGTCATTCAGTTATGTGTACCAATTTAGAATCCATCATTTTGAGAGAGGCCTTGCAATCTGTGCATGTGGATGGATGTCTGTATCTCTGTGTAACCAGGCAAAAACAAAACAAAACAAAACAAAAAAGAGGAATGACATGAGAGAAAAGTGATCGGTACAGAAAGCGGGCCTATTGATGTCATGTAAGGTGGCTGCTGCTTGTAGACCTTGAAGAATAGCTGATTCTGCTACTCAAAAAGAGCGCTGGACTGTTAAATTTAGGAAGCGGAAAGGCGCTGGCTTTTCTTCCTGTTTCATCTCCCTTGGTACCAGTCACCTGACATGAGAAAACCATGAGGAAAAAGCACTACTGACCTTTGCATTGAGTAGCCCTTTTCCTCCTCTAACTAATCCCCTTGATTGCAGCTCAGTGATATGACCTTCCCTTCTGCCTACCGGCTCCATGTTTGGAAGCATAATACAGAGGTACAAGCTGGTGGTTCTCTCCTTTGAGCTGAAACAAACAGGAGCCACGAAAGAGATGAGTCACACAAGTCTCTAGTCCCCACTTTCCTGCACTGGTACCCTTTAGTAAGAGCTGCTGATGGTTGAGCTTTGAGTCTGTACTCATTTTTAGTAGGGCTTTTTCTTTTTCTTTTTTCTTTCTTTTTTGGCTTGTGGGATTTCTTTCTTTCTTTCTTTCTTTCTTTCTTTTTTTTTTTTTTTTTTTTTTTTTTTTGCACTAAGCATAACGGCACTGCGTTGCACTACTGAGATGTATTTATTCATGCCAGAAAAGTGTGTTAGGAAAGGGAAGAAGCGGTAAGCTGGGGGACTGGAAACATCACAGAGAATAGGGGTTATCTCCATTATTGTCTGAGCAGAGCCAGAGAGAATCTGTGGAATTTTTTTGCCAACTCTTGATGAAGTCTAGAAACTGCTATGATGACAAAACCTGCTTCTTATTGTATAGAAGTGGATTAGTACAGCAAATGGAGACTATTTCACAAGAAATGTATCCAGTTTTGTTTCCAAATAAGCTTACAATAAAAGCCACAAGATAAGAAAGCTGACTGGGCTGACACAAAGCCTTCATCTTGGCTCATAAGACACCATGGCACCTCTCACTACAGCACACCTCGGTGTGCCTGAGGGCCACGGTGTCCATGTTCAGATACCCTTTCTACCCATGGCAAGACCTAGATCTGGGTAACCAAAGAGGAAGGCCATGAACGTGGTGACACTGTAAGGGGACAGTACGGGAATGGTGCAATAAACACTGCCAGCCAGTGAGGTGCAAGGCTTATTCTGAAACAAGGTAGGCCAGCTAGAGAACTGGAGGAATGGTTGGAGGTGTCATCCGAATCCACAAGCTGCTCTACCCTAGACTATCCTGAAGCAGAGACCTTGAGAGTGCCTAAGAGTTGAAAGTTGTTGCATTCCCCCCTAAGTTTTCAATTTATTATTATTGCCTTTTTAAATCTCAGAAGCAATCGGAGTTTGACAGCTCTTCGGTAACTATTAACAAGAGGGTCTTGTACCACAGGACAAGCAATAGACTATGCGGGAAGTAAACAAGTGTGGGAGCCTGAGGATGACAGCTTCTGACAAACGGTGGTCACTAAGAACCACAACCCATACTGAGTTCCTCTGAACACTGCCCCATGTGAGGGCATCAGTTTGGAAAACTCCCCGTTGAGTCACTTGCTCCTTCCTCCCTGTCATCCATCCCAGTCTACCTTCCCAAGTCAAAAGTTTCTTCTTACACAGACACAAGTGTCAGCCTTGCTAGTTAAACCCCACGTAGAGCATTCCAAACTCACTTAGGCAGCCCCTTTGGCACTCAAAGCATCACCTGTATTTCGAATCAGGATTCTTAAAAAAAAAAAAAAAGAAAGAAAAGAAAAAGATCTTAACATACTTAGAATGCATAATGGGAAAGCATAATGGGAAAGAGGACATGGAGACACCCAACCAAGGCTATGAGAAGAAATAATTGGCCTTTTAGAATATCCTCACATTGACTATTCTTGGATACCTTTCTCGAGACTTTGGGGGACAAGTTTTTCTTGAGACTTGGATATCCATTCCAGTCTGTCACCAAAGATTTTCCTCTCCAGATCCCAGCCTCCTCTGTCCCAGGCAAAAGTACTATAATAGGCCTGGGGATGCTTTCAGTGGTCAGCGAGGACAACCTCCTTCTGTTGACAGTTGTAATTTAGATCATGAGAACGGAGGGGCTACTCAGCAGTCTCTATGACTTGGGAGTTAGTCAAAAGGTTAAAAAATACACAGTACTACTTGGCACTGTAAACTGTGTAAAATACAGCTGTAACCTGGAGGCTTGTGGAGAGAAAGGAATTCCCATGGAAGAAGTGAGCTAAATAATTTAGAACTAAGCAAGGATCATTAGTGAAAGAGTTCTTTGGCAATACACAAGGAACAAGAGCAAACCATGGCTCTGTGTGTCCAGGGCCAATGACAGTGGCATGTGGAGATGTAGACAACAGCCCAGTGGACTCAAATACCGAGCAGCTACAGTGTTGTGGGACTTGTGGCTGAAATGTTCATGCCATAGCAAGGGAACTCCATGGAAGCAGATCTGTTGTGATAGTGCCTTTCTTGATGTAGCAAGGTATGCTTTTCTGGATCATTGCCCCATCTTCTGAAGAGGTCTGAGGGATGAAGGGATAGGATATTGATTGCCCCTGGAATGCTGTGATTTGAAGATATTTGCACTAGATTCTAAGCTCTCCTTTAATGAGAGAATGAGAAAAAATAAATAAGGACAACTCAAAGTTAAAAGAAACCCAAAGCAATGTGTTCTAACATATCCCCTTCGCTACTACATCTTCTCTCCTTCCCTTCCTTCCCTTCTCTCTTCCTTCTCTTTCTCCTACGAAAGGAAACTTCACATTTGTTATTACCAAATCTAACCCATAACAATTCTTTTTATTTGTTTTTCCCCCAACACTAAACCATAAGTTCATCAGTCAGTCATTGGCTAGGGATAGCTAGTTAAGAGCCTTTGCCTGTACTTTGCTTGCCTTCTCTGCCTCATCAACGGTGGACAACAGTGAGTGTTGGAGAGACAAACTAGACCTACCCAGCCTGTATGGATGCCAGTGAGTCTGAATTTATAGCTCATCCAAAAGGACGCTTAGAAACAAAATGAAGCCACCGTGTTTTCAGTACCAGATGAAGGTAGTGCCCGAAGTTTACCTGCTTCTTCTCTCTTCTCTTTCCTGCCTTGTCACCATGTCCTCTCCACCAGAATTTTACTTCATCTCAGATATGTCACCAGAAGAACTATTTGATTCCTTGGTTTCTCTCTTTTTTTTTTTTAGTAGGATGGTAGCTCTTCCAAAATTAAAACCAAGAAAATACTATTAGCAACTCGCTATGGTTGGACACTTTCCCAAGTGGTATCTATTTGATCTGGATCATCAGTTCTGATAACTTGGAAGTTTTGGCTGGCTCAAACATCTGTCATCTTTATGTTCATTTTGTTTTCATTTCCATTTGAATCTTGAGTGAGAGTGGAAAGGTAGACTCCTGGGAAAGATGTGGAGGCTGCAATTCTAGGGTATAGCTTGTAAGAAGTCTGTATTATCCGAATTAGAACTTTCTACACTTGTTTCCGATTTCCTGTTACCCTGGATATAATTTCTATTACATTTATTGTTATTTTTATAAAGATAGAGTCCATTTGCTAAGTCTAGTTGAGTGCTCTTTTTCTATTTCCCCACATGGATGCAGTACCAACCTGTTACTTAAATATCTTTTTATTATATTGTTAATATGTATTCTACTGTAGACCAAAAATATAAAAACAAATTTGCTCATTTTAAGCATATAAAGAATCTAGTGAGTAAGGATGAAGAGAAAAGATGAAGAGCAGCGGTTAACTGTGTTGTTAGAAATCTAATCTAAGAGTAGCCTTACCTGTTTCTAACCAGTGCTGCCGGTCACACCATAGCTGGGATTATATTATCTGGACTTCTTCATGCTTATGTTCTACAAATCTTGTTTGTCTGTTTTCTTTGATGTAATTGAGGTTGCACATGATGCTTTTTTTTTGGGTAATGCCTGATTTTATTGTACTTTTATCAGTCATTTCCTTTGGAAGAATGAGGGGGAAAGTTTTATTTCTTCTTTTAATTTAAATTTTGTTTAATGCACTGGAAATAAAATTGGACACATTTCACTGTTTAAAAATCAGAAACAAAACAAAACCCCAAAGAAAAAACCAGCAAGCAAATAAGTAAGCAACACACAAAGACACAGAAAACAGTCTGTGCTTATGAAATATACATATAAGCTATATCTCACATGAGAGATAAATACTATCAAGTGAGAAAAGCATCATGTAAGCTACAGTGCAGAAAACTATCAGAGGAAACTGAGTTCACAGTGTGTGGAGAAAACAGGCTGCTCCTTTCTGAGGAGAGATCCTGTCTTTATTCCAGTGAGAACCAAACAAGCTGCATGTGGATAAGATGAAGGAAGGAGTGACTCCGACCTCCTTATGCCACTGGAGCTCTGGGTTACTTTTATCACGTGTCTAAGCAACACACACACACACACACACACACACACACACACACACACACACGCTGCTTGAGAAGGGTTTGTAAAGATGTCTGTATCCGGTGCACACATGTGCGTGTGTCGGTGCTAGGTTGGTCCCCGTGCTAATTCACATGGTTCTCTGAGGCTTACCAGTACCAGTCCCACAACATGGAAGCCCGTAAGTGGTTCACTGAAATAGGTGTGTGCTAAGAAAGCACTTGAATCCAGCCTGTTCCCTTCTCCAGCAGCGCCTAGTACAAGGCCCGCTGCCGCACACGAACGCACAGTGCGAGCTCAGGCACAGGTTACTTCTCTTAGCCAACTGGCTCATTATTTGCTTAAATATTTGCTGGGTTTTTCTGGTTTTGTTCTGTTTTAGAATGGGGTGGGAATGGATGTAACTTCACAATCCTAATACAGTAAAGTTTTGCATCTTCCATATCTTATGCAAAAACAGACATTTAAATCAATAAATAATTGTGCCCTAGACTGAAAGTTAATGTTTAGGAGAAGGAAAAAATTGTTGGAATTTTTTCTACATTTTTTTGTGAAGAATCTTTTTTGGAAAGGAAGGATACATATTTTTGTTGTGTAATATTTTCTATTTTTGAATGCATTTTATTGGTACAAGACTGTTTTTTTGGTGAAGACATTATTTAAAAAAAGAAAAAAAGAAAAAAACTAATCGAAAAGTTTGCCCTTAAGGATATGCTGCAGTTTTGAGGTTAAAAAATAATAACTGATTCAAGATGCGTGTTAAAAGTTGGGATTATATTGTTGTTTTTTGTAATTGTTACAAGAAGTTTGTACCCACTGCTGTTTATTTTGTTTCAGATGAGTAAGTAAAGGGATTGTTCTTGTTTTATTCTTTTTTTAGAGAAAAAGCTATTTATGAAATGTCAAAAACACTGGACTGTGAGTTTAAGTGTGGAAGCATTTTTACCACCCTGTGTCTTCAACCAATTATGGGAAACCCCTTTTCTCTCCCCCCCTGCCTTAGCCTTGCCAAATGAGGAAAATATAACAGCTCTCAGATGACAGAAGCCTCCGAAGCCCTGCTTTAATTTTTATGGTCTGAAAAAGTCGGAAAACCAAAGTTAAATTTGTTTCTGAAATCCCACTGTCCATAGCCCCTTTTTTGTATACCATAGCCGGTTGGCTCTGCCTCTCTATCGTGGATCATTGCCTTCTTAGGAACCTGGGGCCAGCTCTGCAGAGAGGCCTGAGGCGGTGAGGTCTCCGGAAGTGAAATGGGAGTGGGACTTCAGCCTTCCCAGGGCAGCCGAGCTTCTCCACCCAGTGGAAGGCTGCCAAGAGCACACACAGCTAACAGTGCCTGGAGGGGCTGCCTCTGTCACCTTCAACTTCGGCTTCTCAGACCTTGCAGTCCCAAGGCTCTGCCTTCTCAGCAGCCCACGTTCCTATGGTGGGAGGGGACGGGATCAGAGTAGAAAACCTGGCTCCGGGTTCTGTGAAAGCCCGGCCCGCAGGAGGCAAAGCAAGGGACCACTCAGCACAGGCCCCTTGCAGCCTGCCTGCCCACCTCCTCTTTGACTTTGTGGATTGTCCATCCATCTGCTCACTGTGAAGATGGAGAGGCAGTGTTTCCTGAGGCTGTTTAATAGCTTTTCCATATTTTTTCAGCATTGAAAAAATAATTTTTAAAAACTGTGATATTTTTTAAAAATCATTTGGCTGGAGGGAAGGGAAAAGGGAACCACCAAAAGCTGTAACATGATTAACTGGAGATATTTGTAACTGGGGCACTTTCCAGACCAAGAGAGATCATTCTTTTCTGGACCCTAAAGCAGCAAACTCTTGAGATGTCAGTGACAAAAAGCTGAAGAGAGGGTTCCCTCCCCCACCCCACCCTACTCCTTTCTTCTCTGTCTCAAAATCTCTCTCGCTGTCATTTCTAGCTTCCCTTGGTAACTGTCCAATGGGCTTCATACTTCAAAAACACGTGTACACACACACTCACGAACACACAGACACACACAAACAAAAAAAAATCTATTTTTCTGGAGGATCGTGGGACCGAATTAAAATCATGTGCCTTCATTTTTTTCCTTTTATAGTTAAATGAACCTCTTCCTTTTTACAGTGCATTGGGTTTGGTTTGGTTTTTAGAAGAGGGGAGGTTAAAGTGTTTATGGAAGATTTTAGGCATCGTTTAGAGGAGATTTTTTAAAAAAAAACACACACACATTCCCCACTAAATGTTAAGTGAGAACATCTCAACCCCTTCACATTGCACTGTGCACACTTAGGTATCAAGCAGACACCTGACAACCTAATCCACGGGATTTTAGAGCAGTTTCTGAAATCTCTAGTT